AGATAAAAGTACGTCCTGTAGTAGACATTAATCAAATAAAAGTACGTCATGTAGTAGACATTAATCAGATAAAAGTATGTCATGTAGTAGACATTAATCAGATAAAAGTATTTCATGTAGTAGACATTAATCAGATAAAAGTACGTCCTGTAGTAGACATTAATCAAAATAAAAGTACGTCATGTAGTAGACATTAATCAGATAAACGTACGTCCTGTTGTAGACATTAATCAGATAAAAGTATGTCATGTAGTAGACATTAATCAGATAAAAGTACGTCCTGTTGTAGACATTTATCAGATAAAAGTACGTCATGTAGTAGATGTTAATCTGTTAAAAGTAGGTCATGTAATAAAAGTTTTATTTTGATAATCTTGTCGTATAGTAGAGTTAGGCTTAAGTAATCATAAGACAATGCTGATGTGAAGGTATACCAAAGTAGGCAGACATTTCTGTTACCAATATGTTAGTTCTCTAATATGTATCTGATCATTGTTTCCAAACCAGGCTGAAAGTTTTTTATATAATACATGTCAGTATGTCACATTCCCCTGTAACTTATCTAAGCCGACAAGTCGAGATTAAACATTGTAGGATTTGAAAGGTGTGAGACCTTGCCATCTCGACAGATTATTTGCTTTTTTAAAGTGGCTTATGTCCTTTCAAATCCTGTTCGACCTCACCATATCGACAGATTATTTGCTTTCTTGGAGTGGCTTAGTCTTCGTTAACAATGCTTGATATGACAATAGCGTTATAATATAAACTCAACATAGTTAAAGCTCGTCTAAAGTAAAGCAACTAAAGTGTAAAACGAGTGTGTGAAATATCATGTGTACATATAAAGAAGCTTAGGCGAAAATCGAGTGTTTTAGGACATTTATATATAGAAGAATGTCTATACATTGGTCATATACAATCAAACATCAACATTTGTTTACGTTGACAGTAGCTTGTACAACAGCAGGTGCTCAGGTCGTGACAACATGCTTAGATACTTGTGTTACAGAATCGTCATCTGCCACAAGTTATCATTTGTGGAAACACACAAAACCGTACATAAGTACTGCATTTTAAGGAACATAAAAAGCTACGTTTATCATTACAGAGAGTATACGGAACAAAAACAACATATCCAGCATTGGCGGACGTAGTAAAACTTAAATATTCATAGGAAAGTAGGCTTAGTTGGGAGAGTATCTTGACCTGAATATTCATAGGAAAGTAGGCTTAGTTGGGAGAGCATCATGACCTTAACATTCATAGAAAAAGAGGCTTATGAAAAGAGAAATATAGTTAAAACTGCATAGGCGATGAAAATATCAAAATTAAATACTAGGTTGGACAATCGCTAGCTAGAAGAGGAGGCTTAGCTGAGAGAGTATCTTGACCTGCATATTCATAGGAAAGTAGACTACATGGAAGAGTATCATGACCTTAACATTCTCAGGAAAGGAGTCTTATCTGGGAGAATATCTTGACCTGAGCATTTGTAGGAAAGCTGGGCGAGCATCTTGATTTGCTTTCCAATGAATATTTCATTGACACTTTTTCTACTAAGTTTCGATAAATATATATATAATTCATTTTATTTTGAAAACGAACAGGAGCCTGAAATGAGGTATTAAAATAGTTTATTATTTCTCCGGAGAAACTGCTGGGTACTGGTTTTATGAAAACATCGTCCGACAATGTTAGACACAAGTTTTTCAAGATGAAATGAGAGTCAAGTTCTTTCTTTAACACTATTAGAAGTACTCTTTTTTATCTAGTCAGCTAAATGGAACAAGAGTATTAGAACAATCATCTTTTAAAGGGGGGAGCGGGTAGATTACATTTATTACACATACAGTTTTGAGCTTCAGAGCCTCGTCATACATATCCTTATACATAATACAATATATTTACAAATATATTACATTAAGACAGTAAGTACATTTCTTTTCATGTTTAATTACATATATGTATTATGTTTTTATAGGCTAGGCACTGTTGCTGATTTAAAGTAACAAAAATCTGATTTATATTTAATATCACTTAATTGTAACTTCTAATGACGCTCTGTCAGAATTCAGTCTTTTCATTTCATTCTTTTATATTATTAAAGATAGCCACACGAACAATCACAGATTCGAATCACAAAGAAAGGAGTAGCATAACGTAAAGAACATTTTTGTTCGTTTGTCATAATTTGTTTAGTTTGTTCAGTTCGCCTAATGTATAAATTGCGCACAAATTATGGTAAAAAAATGAGACATATTTGAAAATAACAAGTTAAAGAGTACTTACGATGAAACAAAATATAGAAGAAAGTCACAAAGTGTAAGTAATAGAAAGCAGATTATAATTTAAGTTATGGAGAAGCATAACTGAAGAAATTGCTGTTATACTATCACAATTAGGATATGCACCTAATGAACTTTATTGCAATAAGTTATTAGGCCTAACCGAATTCAAATAATAAACGATCAAAACAATAGTTTCGTAGTTGTATAACGGAATTCTGAAATAGCACAATTCTTACAGACAATATCCTTGTATCTTATACATTATAGTTTTTACACTTTTTCATTTGAACACAAAATACAATCAAAAATGTATAATAAAATTTAAATTTTTAAGATGTCGAATTACCGTATTTTTAACGTAATGTATTATTATACAGTATTTACTTAATCTCGTAACGAAGGAATTTCTGGAATTGAAACTAGCGGCATCTGCTGGCAATAGAAATATTTTAAAAAAGAGAGAGATCAAAGATAATAAGAAAAAATAGATGTAAAGCACTGGCGAAATAAACATTTATGAGTAACATATAATAGTAATAGAAAAGGTTGAGAAGAATGTAGAAAAACACATACACAAAAAAAAACAAATAGCATAAGTGGATTAGTGATCGATTAGAAGACATGTCCAATGAAAGAAAACTGGAAAAAGATAGACACAAGTAGTAAAAATACCAAAATACAGGTCAGAGGTCATAAAATTAAATAATAGTGATAACAGTAAATGAAGACTGTAGGAACAGACGGGAGAAATTTAATTTAAAAAAAGGAAAGAAACAAAAGAAAATAGCAAATAAATTACTCTCCCCCCCAAAAATTTTTTTTCAGAAGAAAGTAAAGATAATCGAAAATATATCCAACATACGAAGATGTATTATCTACCGGGAAGAAATAACACATATTTTTAATGTTATTCATCAATACCAGGAATGAAAATACACAA